AGTAGCCATCTAAGGTGCAACTATTATTCTTTCTCTGTCTGGAGGTGATAATTGTAAAAAAAATTGAAGATACAAGGAAACAATCAGTCTAGTGGACTAATGGACCACACGAACATCAGTCTCCACAACCTTGAGGCCAGAAGAATTAGATAGTGCCTGATGATCACTATCAACTACTCTGAAAGGTATTACATTAGATGGTCCTGGATAGAATGAGAGACAATGTGCAACAAAACTTACTAGTGGGCTAGAGACCAATGGAGCCCTTACCACTCTGTACATATTTACCCTGAAATTGAACTCACCGCTGTGACTCAATTTGCAGTCAAACTTAGAGAGGAACAATAACGAATACACACATAAAAATCATCAACCAGTGGAAATCAAATGTGCAGCATTTACTCAAGGTTAAAGTTCAGAAGGGTTAACAAAGAGGAGAAATGGAGACAGGAAACATGGGAGGAAGTGATTTAAGTGGTGTTACATTCATGGAATTGTAATCAATGAGAAGAAACAAAATATGTATGAATTGTTGAATGCAAAACTAATGGTTTGCTCTGTAAACCTTCACCCAATTTACAATAAAAAGTTTTTTAAATGATCAAAAGACATGATTTTTTTTTTTTTTTTTTTACAATTAATGAAATGGAAAGGAAAGAACACAGGAATAAAAAACCTATTAAGTATCAAGATGAATGAAATACCATTTAATGTACAGATGTAATTTAGGCATAAATTAAGGTACCATTTAAGTTCCCATGGATCAGGAAACCTTAAACAGTGTTGGTATGAAAACAAACTGATAGATCCATTTTGGAGAACAGTTTAGAATTCTTTTGTAAAATTCATAAGCCTATGACTAGATATTTGCTAGGATACTTTTATGAATCTCCACCAGAAGACATTTATAATAAATACCAGCATTATTTATAAGAAAAAAAACAACAAAAATCCTGTAAAATGACTTAAAATAAAAGGAGCAAGGATAAGCTATGTGTTTTGGTATAGTCTTACAATGATATATCTAAATACCCAAACTGGCATATTGATTTCTGTTACATGCAAAAGCCCAGCACTCGTCTGTAATGTGTTGTATTGTGGTGGCTTGAATATTGCTGTGATGCTGAAAGCTATGCCATCAGTATTTTAAATACCAGCAAAGTTAGCCACAAGTAAACAGGTTTCAGCTGAGTTCTAGACTAAGGCAGACTGGGAAGGAGGAAAGACAGACTACTTCTGAATGTTTATCCACTGAAACTTTATGAATAGCAGTGTAGCACTAACAGCACCAAAATATTGTCAGATATACCACCAGAAGATGGGCCCTTCAGCTAGGAAGCCATTCATATGATCAAGAGCCATTGGTGCTGAAAGAAGTCAAAGGTGCACTGAAGGCTTTGGCAAAGAGCAAGGTTCTAAGCATTGACGGAATAAAATTTGAAATCTTTCAACAAACTGATGCAGCCCTAGTTGCACTCACTCATCTAGGGCAAGAATTTTGGAAGATAGCTTCCTGGCCAAGTGATTGGATCGAAATCCATATGTGTGTCCATTCCAAAAAGAGATGACCCAATAGAATGAGGAAATCATCAGGACAATATCATTAGTATAACATGGAAGTAAACTTTGCTAAAAATGATCCAAAAATGGCTGCAACTGTACACTGGCAGGAAACTACCAAAAGTTCAAGGCGGATTCAGATTAGGACATGGAATGAGCAATATTGCTGTTAACATCAGCTGGATCTTGGCTGAAAGTAGAGATTACCAGAAAGATGTTTAGTTGTGCTTTATTGACTATGCAAAGACTTTTGCTTGTGTGGCTCATGACAAGTTATAGATACCATTGTGAAGAATGTGTATTCCAGAACACTTAGTTGTGCTCATGAGGTACCTGTACATAAACAAGAGGCAGTCATTTCAACAGAACAATAGGACACTAAATGGTTTAAAATCAGGAAAGGTGTGTGCCAGGGCTGTATGTTTCACCATACTTACTCAAGGGAGCTCTGGTAGCATAGTGGTTATGAATTGGGCTGCGAACCTCAAGGTCAGCAGTTCGAAACTGCCAGCTGCTCCGCGGGAGAAAGATGAGGCTTTCTGCTCCCGTAAAGATTTACAGCCTCAGCAACCCTGTTGAGGGTCATTATGGGTCGGAACCTACTCGAGGGCACTTAACAACAACAACAACAACTCAATGTGTAGGCTGAGAAATAATCCAAGACACTGGATTATATGAAATACAATATGGCATCATTATTGGAGGATGATTCATTAATTATCTGCAAAATCATGCAGATGATACAACCTTACTTACTGAAAGGAAGAGGACTTAAAATATTCATTCATGAAGATCAAAGACCACAGTCCTTCAGTATGGGTTGTATCTCAATGTAAAGAAAACAAAAATCTTCACCACTTGGAACAATAAGTAGCATTGTGAAAAATAGAGAAATGATTGGATTTTCAAAGAATTCCTTTTGCTTGGATCTTCTATCAACACTCATAGAAAGAGCAGTCAAGAAATCAAACAACATATTGCATTTGGCAAACCTGCTGCACAAGACCTCTTTAAAGTGTTCAATAGCAAAGATGCCAGTTCGAGGACTAAGTGTGCTTGACCCAATCATAGTATTTCCAATCACCTCATTTGTATGCAAAACGTGGCCCAAGTATAAGGAAGATCATAGAAGAATTGATGCATTTGAGTTATGGTGTTGGAGAATATTGAAAGTACCATGGACTGCCAGAAGAACAAACAGATCTGTGTTGGAAGAAGTACAGCCAGAATGCAGAAGCTAGGATGGCCAGACTTCATCTCTCATTTGTTGTTGTTGTTAAGTGCCGTCGAGTTGGTTCCGACCCATAGCGACCCTGTACAGGGTTTCCAAGGCTGTAAATCTTTATAGGAACAGAAAGCCTTATCTTTCTCTCATGGAGCAGCTGGTAGTTTTGAACTGCTGACCGTAAGGTTCACAGCCCGATTCATAACCACTACGCTACCAGAGCTCCTTACTTTGAACACATTATCAACAGGGACCAGTCCCTGGAGAAGGACTTCATGCTTGGTAACGTGGAAGGTCAGAAATAAAGAGGAAGACCCCACTATCACAATGGTTTGGCACAGTGGCAGCAACAATGGGCTCCAGCATAACAACAATTGTGAGAATGTCATTGTGTTGTGCCTAAGGCCACGCTGAGTTAGAACCAACTTGATGGCACCTAACAAAAACAACAGCATGTATCAATATGGATATATTTTAGAAAGATAGCGTTAATGGGAAAACAAAAGATCAACTCATTATAGCCAACTAGGAATTATACCATTGTTGTGATTCTAAAAGCCCAGAGATTCCTGAGGATAAAAAAAAAAAAAGTACAGCTTTGCCTACGATGTGTATGACATATCATAACCAGAATTGTTCTATTTTTTAAAGCATTTTAGGATATTTCTTAATATTTATTCATATTAAGAAGTTGTTATATACGTAACAGGCCAAACAATAAAAAGGAAAATAATAATACTTAAGATTTTTAAATATGTATCTTAATAATTAAGGTTTGATGGGATAAAAAAGGGCTGTGAAAAGGAAATCATTTTTATTCATTCTATTAATTTATACATGTAGCTTGAGCTGATTTCTTTCATGCTGAACTATAAAATTCCTTTCTAGAAAGTTCTGGACAGTTCATTGTATGGCTGACAGTTAATGCATAGGACAATTAATCTAAATCATGAATCTTGATCACTTTTGTGCAGTAGTTATGGGTCCCAAACTAAATTTTAGATTTGAAGATTGACTTCAGATGCATGAGTTCTAAACTTCAGAAAAATATTCTCCTTGAAATGCTTGGCTTAAGATTGCTTCCAGAAAACATAGAAAGTGAGAAACCACTTAGTGAGCAGTTTCTACACAATTCAAGTAGTTGTAAGCCTATGAAGCATTATCTCAGAGATGGAGCCAGCCTAGGTGCAGATAGAGGAGTTGGGTTCCAGATCTATGAGCACCATTAGGCACCATGACAGCCTGTGTCATATGATTTGTTATTATATCTGATGCTCTTCTACCTCAGTTATTCTCTGTAGATATTATAAGAATACCAACATCTGTTTTAATATCATGATACAGCTCCAAACAAGTCACCAAGAGAGGTGAAATCAGTAGCCTGGCCCTCATAGCACTAAGTAAAAGTAGTTAAGTTAGTGTCATCCTCTAAAGATGTACTGTCAAAGAAAAGAAGAGAAAATAGATGCAATGCAATGAAACCAGAGTTCTCTCGATGCCTCTGCCTTGTGTTCCACATTAGTGCCTCTGACCTTTTCTTAAAACATTAAGCATCACAAGGAGATCAGCAGGAATCATGTGCTGACCAAGTACTTAAAGGGCAGAAAATCTCACTGTAGTGAAAGGGGATTATTAAAGGGGGCAGAAGAGGGCCAGCCTCTCCCAGCTTGGGTGAGCAGATTTAGAATTAGTTATCAGGCAGAAACTGGCAAGTAATTAACAGCTCTGACATCAGGGGACCAGCAAATATAAAACACTCAGCGGTAGGAGAGTTTCCACAGAAAAACCCTCAGGAGTTGAAGGTACGGGAGAGAGGTTCTATGGGGAGTGGGTGGACTCCTGCCAACACTCCCTAAGGATGAGGGACTTTAAATCACAGAAAGGAACTTACTGGAAATCTGTTCCCCCTTCTTCAGCTCCATAGTTAAATGTAATTGCTGGTGGTGACCTGCTAATGAATGCTTTTGATAAATAACATCCAGGATAAGTATTTATATATATAAATCAAAATGAAGTCTAGGATAGGAGACTTAATTAGGTATTATACTTGTCAAATTTTTAAAGGTAAATTACTATTTTTACTAATTCTTTGTTGGGAATGTCATTTCACAGGCAATGAAAACACTTTGAAAGTGAATTGTGAAGGACTCATGCCATCGATGGGGGGGGGGGGGGGGTTGGAAAGTGTTTGCATAATTGTATTTTTGCTTTCTTCTTTTCAGCTGGATCTACGTGCCTTAGTCTTTTCTACACTAAGGGCTGCTAACCAGAGCATTGTGGTGTATTGTTGCTAAAATCACAATGAAATCTGACAGATTCATCTCTCTGGATTATTTCTTCTTCCTCCTACTGCTTCTTCAGCAGGCCTGTGCTCAATTTCCAAGAGAATGTGTCACTCCTGAGGCCTTGAGAAGTGGCGTGTGCTGCCCAGACCTGTCCCCTGTGTCTGGACCTGGGACAGACCCCTGTGGCTTGTCATCTGGCAGGGGCAGGTGTGAAGTAGTGACTGCAGACTCCCGACCTCACAGCCCTCAGTACCCTCACGATGGTGCAGATGACCGAGAGGGCTGGCCCACACGGTTCTTCAATAGGACATGCCAATGCAATGGCAATTTCTCAGGACACAACTGTGGGGCATGCCGTCCTGGATGGAGAGGCACTGCTTGTGACCAAAGGGTTCTTATAGGTAAGTGGGAAGATAAACTGGGCACATTGTCCTGCCATAAGGTCAATTACCAATAGGTAAATGCCATCTAGTTGGTCTAGACTCATAGGAAGCCTGTATTGGTTTCCAAGGTTGTAGATCTTTACAGGAGCAGAAAGTCTCACCTTTCTCCCACAGAGCAGCTGGTAGAGTCAAAGGCTCATCATAGTATTCTAAATCACTGGGTCTGGAGGAACATGGGGAAATCATGTCATTCATGCCTCTTTGTGCATAGTTGAGGAAACTGAGGCTTAGACTGGTTAAGAAACTTAACTCACGTTTAAAGGGTTGGAGTTCTGCACAACAATATTTACTTCCATGTACATTTATTGAGTAATCACTATATACTGGGCACTATGGTAGGTCTTTTATCATCCATCCTCTCAATAATTCCTTAGCATAGCTATTTTATTTGCTATAACCAATTGCTAGCCAGTTGTCATCATATCAATTCTGACACATGGCATCCTGTTGTGGTTCAGAGTATAACTGTGCTTTATACGGTTTTCAGTGACTGATTTTTCAGGCCTTTCTTCTGAAGAGTCTCTGGGTGGAATTAACTCTCCAACTTTTAGTGAGTGACTGAGCATGTTAACATATTGTACCACCAAAGTCACATGGCTGGTCACAGAGAAAATTAAAACTCACACTAGGGTTTGTCGAGCTCTTATACTTGAGCTTCCTCTACTACCCTTGCTGACTCAGAAATTTCCCACTGAGATTATCAAATTCAGGAATCTTAGATATGAATCTGGCCTGCAACTTGAACAGTGCTACATAACAAAGCAGTAAGTAAAGCAACCATACTTGATTGCTTTCTGTGTGCTAGACAGTGGACCAAGGAGTCAACAGAATAGTTATTGAGTGTTTATTATGAGCCAGGCCCTGGTCTGATTTTTTTAGAGTATGTGTTCTTTAATCTTTACAATGATTCTACAAAGCAGGTATTAGTATCCATGATTTACAGATGAGAAAACTGAACCTTCAGGAAATATTTTCAGAATTATAGCACAAGCCTCTGATCTTAACAACTGTGATAGACCACCAACTTGCTTATTAAGTTCTTGTTGTGGCTATGTGCCATTGAGTCAGTTCTGACTCATAGAGACTCTATAGGGTTTCCAATGAGCAACGGGTGGGATAGAACCACTGACCCTGTTAGCAGTCCAGTGTTTATTCTACAGTGTCACATCAGGAAAGGGGTGGATAATTCCAAGAGAAATGCCAATAGTTGTTGTTGTTATGTGCCGTGGAGTCGGTTCCGACTCATAGTGACCCTGCACAGGGTTTCTGAGGCTGTAAATCTTTACGGGAGCAGATAGCCTCATCTTTCTCCTATGGAACAGCTGGTAGTTTCAAACTACTGACCTTAAAGTTACCAGCCCAATTCGTAACTACTATGCTACCAGAGCTCCTTAATAGTAGTAGAACTAAATATAAAATGATCATGGTGGTGGTGGTATGCCATGGTTCTGACTCATAACAACTCCTCCATAGGGTTTCTGAGGCTGTAAATCTTTACTGGAGCAGAAAACCTCATCTGTCTTCTGCAGAACGACTGGTAGTTTCGAACTGATAACTTTGAAGTTAACATCCTGACTCTTATAGCCACTATTCTATAGAATTATCAAATTCATAAGTAAAATTAAAGAAAGTTAATAGACATCCAGGATTCCTTGTGTGACATTTTAAGATAAACACTGGACTGCTAACCACAAGATCAGCAGTTCAAACCCATCAGTCTATCCTTGGAAACGTTATACAGAATCACTATGGATTGGAACCAAGTGGATGGCACTTTACAATAACAAAAACAATAGAAATACCAGAATAAGTTGGAGAGAAGTGGGAAAGACTGAGGAGGAAGAGAGAGAGAGAGGGGGGCCTGAAGTAGGAGGTTCAGTAGGAGTATTTACAAAAAAAAAAAAAAAATAGAAACAAATTTGAAACTGATTAGGAAGTATCTACAGATGATCATTCATGGGTAAGTGGGATGTAGTGTGTTACAAAATAATCCTGCTCATTCTTTACTCATCTCTACAAGGCAGTTGTTTTCATGATTGAATTTTGTATCCCTAAAGTCAGGAGAAACATTCTGGATTTAAATGCAGAAGAAAAGAACCGCTTTCTTCTGGCCCTGAATATGGCAAAGCGTACAACTCACCCCCAGTTTGTCATTGCAACCAGGAGATCAGAAGAAATACTGGGGCTAGATGGCAACACACCCCAATTCGAGAACATTTCCATTTACAACTACTTTGTTTGGACACATTATTATTCAGTCAAAAAGACTTTCCTTGGAACAGGGCAGGAAAGCTTTGGTGGAGTGGATTTTTCTCATGAAGGACCAGCTTTCCTCACTTGGCACCGGTACCATCTACTGCAGCTGGAGCAGGACATGCAGGTGAGCACGTGACATTTTCAGATTCCTTATGGATGAATTACCTGGTCTGTAAGTCATTTTCATTTGCTCTTGTTCTGAAAGGGAATACACATGTTGGCAAAGCAATATAAAGTTTCTGTCTTTGACAGTCACGTAAACTTTTTCCAGGTACTAATTGCTTATTTAATTAATTCATCATTATATTTTGTGGGAGTGAGGAGGAGGTCAATTGAGAACTTTTCAGGTGTGAATTAAAGTCTTAGAAATGTTCTGCAGCTCTGTAATTGAATAATGATACTCATGAAGTTTGAGTCAAAAACATCCCAAGTAACCTGTCATTCTTCACTACCAAATGTAAACAGATGTCCCCCCTGGTCTGGTGAGGGGTGTGTGCACTACATGGCCTGTCCAGTCTCAAGCGTAGACCTCACTGCCCCACTTCCTGACACTTTCCAATATGGACTAGGGTTTCAGTGCTGAAGAAAGGTGGGCTTTTTTCCATTTGGTTTGTCAGATTTTGTTGAACTTCATTTTTGGCCCATGTCCCTACCACTGTGAAGTTTAATAAGAAAAAAAATAATAATAATTAAAAAGTTTGCCTCAGTCTGACTTTATTTCTAATTGAAAAGCATTGGCTGTATTTAATATAAAGTAAACTTTATCTTAAGCACAATTATTTCCTGTTTTGTTTTCAAGCAGATAAACTCAAAGCAAACCCAAGTACCACATTCTTGTTGAATGTTGTAGAGTCGGTTCTGACTCATAGCAACCCTGTATAGGGTTTCTGAGGAGCAGCTGATGAGTTTGAACCTCTGACCTGTGGTCCAAACCAACCTTGCAAATAGCTTATTGTTGTCAATTTTGTTAACTGTTGTATTTCTTGAGGAAAGTATTGTAACTTTTAAATAAATTTTTAAATCACTAAACCTCACTGGAAAGTCCATAATAAATCCTCCCAGCCCCTTCAAGTTAAATCTTAACGGTAAGCTAAAATTGTCTGAAGGCAGAAAAGGTGTTTGGATTCATACTGATTAGCAGAATGCTTATGCTTGACATTATTTTTTAAATGAATACTTAGATGGTAAGGAATTAAAGCACTAAAATATGAAATAAAATATTCTCATGAAAATTGTCTATCCTTATATAGTTTACGAGTGATTAAACACATCGAACTTTATATTTTATAGCTCTAATTGCAATCCAGGCATTTAGCAGATCATGAGTCGATAAATCTATCATTTGTAATTGACTCTAGATCTTGATGCTTCCCAACTTATTTTCCCATGGGCACACCATAATGAAAGGGCAGGTGGAAAGTATCTAAAAGCTTCGATTTTGCCTGTGTAAACCTCAACCTCTATGACTTACATTTTAAAAATGCAGCAGCACACGGATCCAAGAAATTACTACTTCAGTGTAATGCACAGTTGAAATGCCACATGAATATACTTCAGCTCCTGAAAGTCAGTTGCTAGACCACAAACAGACTCTTAATGATCCCTCGGAAGCTGTCACTAATTTGTGTGAACCAGAAAGATGGTTTCTAAATGAGGACTCTAAACCCCTGGAGATCATTAACTGGGAATGCCTTTGAAAGCTTTTGGTCCTCTATAACACCCTAAGGACAAGGGAAGGCTTCCTAGAAAGGGGTTTAAAGTAAAAAGGCAGAAATGTACTAGAGCTTGAGGGATGAAATTCAGGTATGAATTCAAGTTTTGGAAATACTCTTTCTGTTGTTGTTAAGCGCTGTTGAGTCGGTTCTAACTCATAGTGATCCTGCACAGGGATTCCAAAGCTGACTCTACAGCTCCGTAATTGAATAATGATACTCATAAAGTTTGAATCAAAAGAATCTCAATTAAAACATCTTTCTTCGCTACCAACTGTAAATAGATGCCCCTTCTGGTCTGGTGAAGGAGTGTGTTTATACTATGTGGTCCGTCCAGTCTCAAGTGTATACTTCGTTATTCTACTTCATGACTCCTAAATGTAATTCTCCAAAGGCCCAAAGAAATGAGATATAAAAAAATAAATATATGTTTTAAAGAGCCCAACAAAGTCAACATGTGATCTTTAGTCCAGCATTTTAAAATATTGATTGGGAGATCAGCTCTAAATGAAAGTAGGCCAGCCGATGAACTGAAGAGCAGTAAGAGCAAAGAACTCCTTTTCCATTTAGCATGTCTTGTTTGTATGGATCCCGGAAGATGTTTGTGTCTTTAGTCAAAACTCTGAAACAGGGATCTCAAAGACAAATACGTTTTGTCCCCAGGCCAGTAACCTCAGTGTGGTTTGTCTCCAAACTGGAATCTAAATGCCTAAAGTCATTCAAATAAAATTAAAACAAAAAGACATCATTGATTCCCAGGCTAAGAGTTATGGACACTTGAATTAGAGATCATGAAATCCGAAGAAGGTGGAAATGTCAAGGCTTGATGTTATTATTAATAATTTTTGGTAAAACCAATAAAAAATAGAATTGTCTGACTAAATAAAGAAAAAGGAGACTTTTAAAAAAAATCATTTGCATTAATTTCTGTATAATGAGTTTCACTCTCTCTAGTGCTTAAATGAATGCTGGTAGTATGTTAGAAGCTTGGTTAAATCGGTTTTTAACTCCAGCAGGCCCCTCAGAGCCCCCTGGTACATTGATAGACTCTTTAAGTAGCTGAAGAGAGCTCTTAGACACAGACCGCTAGTGAATAAACCAAGCAAAGAGGGGAAGATTTTAAACAGAACCACAAGATACTAACGGAGTTTTTCTGCTCTAGGAAATGTTGCAGGACCCTTTTTTCTCCCTTCCTTACTGGAATTTTGCGACTGGGAAAAATGTCTGTGATATCTGCACCGATGACTTGATGGGCTCAAGAAGTAACATTGATTTCACTCTTATCAGTCCGAACTCTGTCTTTTCACAATGGAGAATAGTGTGTGAATCCCTGGAAGATTATGATACCCTAGGAACTCTTTGTAACAGTAAGTTCTAAATGAAATATAGGCTCAGAATTTCTTATTAGATAAAAAGGCTGAACACACTGCCTGGAAGTTCCTTTGTCTATTTGAGACTTCAGACTAATATCAACTTTTATTATGGAGTGTCACTGAGCATTTAGTATTCAAAGCCATCTGTAAGGGGCTCCTGGGAAACACTGTGCCTACACCTTTGTGCCTTTCTTGAGTAATTAGTCAGTGCATTGCTAACTTGCTTGTTTTGGAAAAGTTCGTGTGGCGCTATAAGATATAAGCCATAAGGTCGTTGTAAAAGTTAATCCTCTTGGTACACTCAGCACTTCTAATTAGTCATGTGGATCACGTTGGAATTTCACAGAACATTTTTCTGTAGACAACCTAAAATACACAGAGAGTTGTTGCTGTGAAGTGCCATTTGGTCAGTTTCGACCCATAGCGACCCTTTTCAGGGTTTCTGAGGAGCAGCTGTTGAGATTGAACTGTCGACCTTGCAGTTCAAATGGCTTTTCAGTCTGGCGCATTAACCCACAGCGCCACACCAGGACTTCTATACAGAGAGAGTTGGGAGTAAAATTAAAAACAACAAAAAATCATTACGCTTATCCAATCAGAGGGGTAAAACCAAAAGATGATAGGGAGGCTAGTTTTAAAAGAAATGAAGATACTGCCCCCAAGATGTCTACCAGTCAGCTACCTTCCAGTTCTCTTGGTGTCTGTGAACGCGAGATTGAATGTCTACTGACATTTTTCCTCCAGTGATCTGCAACGTCACTTCCGTCATGTGGGTCTGTTCCTAGGCATCTTAGTCTTCTCTTTGGATCACGTTATCAGCCCCTGAGCTAATAACTCATTCTACCCAATCTTATTTTTCTTCTTTGAACATGTCTTAACCATTTTAAACATTTTGTCTTCCATATAAAAACAGGAATTGTGAGAAATTATTTTATTATATGTTCCACGGCACATAACAACAACAAAAGCTACATTTATTCTACATATTTTATGCTTCAAATATTGAAGTATTTTTAACTTTAAAAAAAGCGTATCCGAATTACAGTGGCAGGAATTCAGTAGATTTTCTCCATTAGAAGATATAGGAGAAGTGATAGTATATGAAATTCCCAGCTGTAAAACGGTAAATATTAGAATGCTTTTCTTTGAAAGAGTGGTCCCACCTTGTGGCAGAGAAATGAAACTGAGGGTTAAGATTATCTAGAGATATCATAACTTTTATCTATTTCTCACTGTTGTTATTGTTAACTGTCATTGAATTGGTTCTCACTCATAGTGACTCTATATGTAGTTTCCAAGGAGTGGCTAGTGGGTTTGAACCGATCTCCAACCTTGCAGCCCAATGCGTTATTCTGCATATTTTGTCCTGCGAGTTTTCCAGAGTTTTCCATGCATTTTGGTGATTAGATGATTTAAGCACACCGTAAGTGGATAAGTAAACTTACACCATAGCCTGTTATTGTTAACTGCTGTCAGGTTAGTTTCTGAGGAGCAACTGGTGAATTTGAACCACCGATCTTGGGGTTAGTGGTCCAGTGCTTATCCTACAGCACCACACCAGAAGCCGTGGTAGTGTAGTGGGTTATACGTTGAGCAACGATCCACAAGGTCAACAGTTTAAGTCCATTAGGTGCTCCGCAGGAGAAAGATGAGGCTTACCACTCAGGTAAAGATTTTCATCCTTGGAAACTCTATTTGTTGTTAAGTACTGTCGAGTCGGTTCTGACCCATAGCGACCCTATGTAGGGTTTCTGAGGAGCAGCTGGTGAACTTGACCCACCGACCTTGCAGTTCAATCGGCTTTGCAGTCTGGCGCATTAACCCACAGTGCCACACCAGGACTCCTGGAAACTCTCTATACAGGGTCGCTATACAGCCAGTCAAGGCAGTAAGAAATTAAAAGAGAGAGATTTTCATCACCAGTGTTTTTGGGGTTTTTTTGTTTTTGTTTTTTTTTAATATAGCTAGTCACATAACTTAGATACATAATTTCATAGCAAATTGAAAATTATACATTTTGGGTGAAGTCTCAAAATGATTGCTTTCCTCACTTCAGTAAATAAATATTCAGCAGTTCTTATTAGGCTAGGAAAAGAAGAAAGGAATTATCATTTTATTGACCATTCTTTTTTAAATATTCTATTTTACTTAAAGCTTATGAGTCCTGGTGTGATGCTGTAGGATAAGCACTGTACTGGTTACAGCTAGGTCGGCAGTTCAAACCCACCAAGCTGCTTTCAGAAACCCTCTACAGGGTTACTATGAGTTGGAACCTACTTGATGACTGTCCCAGAAGAACAACATTGAATTCATATTGCAATTCTTTCCTCCCTCTACTTTACTTCTTGTCTTAACCATGCCTGTGGTTCCATTGTCATTTTTACAATGCATACATTTAAACCTTAATTAGACATCTCATACTTATGCCTCTGGTAGTGTAGTGGTTACGAATCTGGCTGCGAACAGCATGGTCAAGAGTTCAAAACTGCCAGCTGTTCGGCGGGAGAAAGATGAGGCTTTCTGCTCGCGTAGAGATTTGCAGCCTCGGAAACCCTATACAGGGTCGCCATGAGTCGGAACCGACTCCACGGCACATAACAACAGCAACAACAACCTACCTATGCCTTAGAGTCCTGGTATGTCACTGTAGGAGAAGCACTATACAGGGTTGCTATGAATCGGAACCAACTCTACTGCACTTAACAGCAAACACCAGCACATATGCCTTGATATTCTTATTATACAGTGTCTCCCAAATATTCCATTAATGTACCAAATTAAAAATATTTAAAAAGGGAATAAATGATACCCAACATTCTGCTGGAGTCCTGGTGTGGCGCTGTTGGATACGTTTTGGACCGCTAAATATGAGGTCCGCAGTTCAAACCCAACAGCCACTCTTTTGAAATCCTATACAGACTCACTATGAGTCGGAACTGACTGAACAGCCATCAGCAACAATATAACAACATTCTTCCAGGAGCTCTGTGACTCTATACCATAAGCACTGCACTGCAAGCCACGAGGCTGGTTGTTCAAGTACACTGACTCTTTCTTGGGATAGAGATGAGACTTTTGGGCCCTGTAAAGATTTAAAGCCTTGCAAACCCTTTGCAGAGTTGCTGTGAGTTGGAACTGACTCGAAGATACTTAACAGCAACAACATTCATTGAGTCACTTTAACATCATGTTTGATTCATCCCACGAGAAACATTTACCAAGTACTTTCTTCACAGTATTTTTTTTTTACAAACCCGTTTTCTCCTTCAGAAACTCAGAATTATTCATTCACAGCAGCATTTCCTCCTACTTGGAAACTCCGTAAGGCTCAGATTGATAAGATGTTGCAAATATATTATCTGAAAATAACTGGGTTAAAATTAAACTAGCTTAACTAGTTTCTAGTGTAACCAGAATTCTTTACAATGTAACACCCTAAGGGTAAAATTAGGATCCGGTGCTTTCAAACCCCTGTAATCAATACTTTTCCTTGGCCTTGATTAGAAACTTCCTGAACACCAATCCCAGAAATATCACTTAAATTGGTATTTTCAGTGGTCCTTGAAAATTTTTTTATCATATACACCTAAAAAATGCACATGTGCTTCCCAGTCTCAAGATGAGCATATGTTCCATTTACATATGAGTAAATTCCTTGAGCTAATTGTTAGTACTAATTTTGATGTTAATCACAAAGCATGGAAGATAGGGTTTTTTATGAAAGCTGATCACCTTTGCCTAAAATGTTTAATTTGTACGATTAAAAATTGTCTTGTTTGATTTGTAAAATTAAGATTTGTCTTATTTCATCTATGGAAACCATTCTCAACCCTTTGGGTATTTTTGTCAGTCTCCATTCTTCATGAACGCTTTCTGTAGCTACCCAACTGGGAAGAATGTTTCTCAGTCTTTCTCTCTGTCTTTGTCTCTCTCTGTGTTTGTATGTTTCTCTCCCTCTCTCTTTAAGGCACCTGCCCCAGCATGAGTAGTCTCATGGTTTTTTGTCTTACTGTCTATACATAATTTGTCTCTCACATTAATGATCAAATATATGTTGATCGATGCATATATACACTGCTTTCAAAGATTTTTAAAGGTTTTTTTTGTTTTTTTTTTCTTTCTCTCATTCCTCTGAGGATTTGAGACAGACAGGATTTGGGGATAAATTTATTTCTATGTATATTTTTGCCTCATTCCAAAACTGATCTGAAGCCATTTTCCCCTTCTTCACAGTTTGTGCTGCAGAATTTTAATGCTTCAGCTCTTTGGTGTTGAACTTCATGATTTTACTATAACACTGTTATTAAGAACATTACCAGATAATTACATTTCTAGAAAACATTTTTAAAACAATTGTGAAACAGTATCCCAATGCATTTAAGTGAATTTTGGATCTGGAAGTCTCAGAGTTGAATTTAGGTTTTTGAGGCTATTTCAGCAAAATTCAATTTTCCACAGAATGTTTTTCATAATGCATTCTAGTGAAGACAGTGTATGTTGATTTAATAGACACCAAGATCTATATTGGGTAGTGTGATCATTTTTATCTTCAGATGATTTTATGTATCATGTGTCTATTCCACACACAAACAAACAACTTGGCTTCTTAGATATTTTTTCATTTTAACACCACTAAATTTACATTTTTAAACCTTATCTTATACTAAATACGATAGTGTTCATTGTATAAGTAGTTTTAAAAAACAATGATCAGATATCATTCACGTACCCATCTTTTTCCAGGTACTGAAGGTGGGCCTATTAGGAGAAATCCAGCCGGAAATGTGGCCAGACCAATGGTGCAGCGTCTTCCTGATCCTCAGGATATCGCCCAGTGCTTGGAAGTTGGTTTATTTGACACTCCTCCTTTTTACTCCAATTCTACAAACAGTTTCCGAAATACAGTGGAAGGTAAGTATACAAAATTGGTGCTTTAAATTGACCCAGAGTAAACTGAAGTGGTACAATCTGCATCTCCTTGAAGGTGGCTTTTGAATGACATAGTCATCCTGTGACTTTATGTCACTGGGTTATCTATTATGATTTAGTCATAATTCTCTACTCAGGAAAAAAACTCATTTAAAGGCAAGTATCAGATAGTGACATTTATTTTGATTATCGTAGAAGAGGCCTTGTATATCATTTTCCATAAACCTAAACACTAGCCAAACTGAAATTTCTAGCTGGCTAATTAGTCAATATTAGTTGTTGTTACTAAGTGACAACGAGTCGATTCCGACCCATAGTGACCCTATACAGGGTTTCCAAGGTGTGACTTGTGAATTTGAACTACCGACCTGTTCAAATTCAAGGTGGTTCAAAACAACCTTGCAGTCTAGTGCTTATCCTACAGTGCCACATCAGAACTCCTGTCAGCATGAGAACCGTACCAAATTCTAATGTTAGCAAATTATATTTAAGAAATAGAAAGCTAATTTTTGTGTTTTAATGTCCCCAACAGTTAACATCAACTGAAACTTAGTTTGGGCATATGTTTTCTATAGGTCTGTATCATCTTATCATTTTTCAAATATCTATAAAACTTCAGGCTGGTATCTCCCAGATCTTTTTTGATTTTCTTTATCTAATACAAAGTATATTAAAACTCATGGTCAGAGAGGTCAAATGACTTTCCCAAGATATTCAAAATGGGCTTCTCCATTGAAAGAATCACAACGGTAATTTTTGGAATTCAACACTTGACATAAATCATCAAATATTTTTCCAATTTTCCACATGCACATATGGAATCCTGGTGTGGCTCTGTGGGTTAAGGTGCTAGACTGCAGCATTGATTTTAACTACAAGGTCAGTGCTTTAAGCTCACCAGCTGCTCCTTGGAAACCCTATAGAGAGGGTCGCTATGAGCCAGAACTGACTAGATGGCACTTAACAACACCATATATATGTTGTTGTTGTTAAGTGCCTTCGAGTCGGTTGCGACCCATAGCGACCCTGTACAGGGTTTCCGAGGGTGTAAATCTTTACGGGAGTAGAAAGCCTCATCTTTCTCCCGCGGAGCGGCTGGTAGTTTCGAACCGCTGACCTTAAGGTTCGCAGCCCGATTCGTAACCACTACGCTACCAGAGCTCCTTGTATATATATATACACATACACACACATGAGAAGATTTCAAAAGGTTCATGGAATAATAGAATTCAAAGATAGTGGAATTTTTCCACACACTTTTTGAAGTCCCTTCAAGTATGTGTGTGTATTTACTTATCAAAGTGCTATCATCGTTTTGACATTGAGCTTTCCAGATGGTTATAATGAATACAGAGATGGTGGTAAAGCTCTGAGAAACTTTAACTTCCCCACACCATAAGGTAAGCTTCCCAAAATAAACATGCTGACAGTTAGTCCACAGGAATAAAGTAGGAGACTGAAGTAACATCTGGCAATGTCAGTTTCAGGACAATCCAAGTGGTGTTCGCCCATTCATGTTAGCAGTTTTTAGGAGAAGCCAGAGAATTCCACTGTCTTTATTTTGCATAGATCAATGTCTCCCTTATCAAAATAGAGTGTTCTATATATTTTGACTGGTTTCCTCTACAGGTCATTATTTTCAACCTAGTGAGTACATTTAGAATGCCATGCCACTAGTTTAAAAATAGCCTTACTTGGGTTATAGCAAGTAAATGTCACCAACCATAGGTACTGAGAAGCAATTCTATTATATTAAGGCAAGAAGTAGCCTAACAAGCTTTGGGGAAGGAGGGGATGTTTCTCAAAATAATCAGTTCAGTTGACTTTAAAAGAAAAATATTTGCAATGGTCTTTAATATTCTCTTCCTTTCTTTTCTATCTAGGTTATAGCGATCCTGCTGGAAAATATGACCCTGTTGTTCGAAGTCTTCACAATTTAGCTCATCTATTTCTGAATGGAACAGGGGGACAAACCTATTTATCTCCAAATGATCCTATTTTTGTTCTCCTACATACTTTCACGGATGCAGTCTTTGATGAATGGCTGAGGAGATATAATGCTGGTGAGACACTTTCAGATGTTTTCTGCAGACTCAGAAAAAGGGATTGTTCCGATGGCGTAGCACTTACTGAAGACTAAGCACTTGAGCCATGGAAAGTATTCTTCAAAATAAGGATAAAATGCAGTAATCTCAAACCATTTTCAAACGATTCAAAAATGCTTTAGAAATTCAGGCAAGAAATCTCTCAGAATAGTTATTGTAAGATAACATTTATCATCATCCCTTTTCATTTTTACTACGAAAAGATGACTACCAGGTTTCTCCAATTTTTCTTCTTCGTATCTTTCAACAAACATTCTTGGTGCTATGAAAAACTGAATGGGAAGCTCTGGAAAGGAGTCACAATAGGAGATCCTGGATAGAGTGGGAGAAAAATGTGGAGCAAATCTCAAAATCATAAAAAAGATAAAACTTTTTTTGATACAGACTGATGGAACACCAAGACACTAGTCCTCAGAGCCTTCAGCCCTGGAACTGTTTTGAAATCAGTCAGGTGAACAGTAACACTAGGAACATAGGCATCCTTTAAAACAATCAACCATTAGAGATAAAAAGGCAGCATTTCCCAGGCAGGGATAAAGCTCAGAAGGCAAGAAGGGATATATTGTTCGGATATATGATATATAATATACAATATATATGGAGTCCTGGTGTGGTGCTGCGGGTTACTGCACTGGACTGTAATGTTTGTTTGAACTGCAAGGTTGGTGGTTCAAGCACTCCAGCGGCTTCTTGGAAATCCTATGCAGGGTCACTAGGAGTCAGGACAAACTCAAAGGTACTTAACAACAACAATATAATATATATGTTGTTGTAAAGTATCATTGAGTCGGTTTCAACTCATAGGATTTCCAAGGAGTGGTTGGTGAATTTGAACCACTGACCGTATATATATATATATATGTCTTGTTGTTAAGTGTCGTTGGGTAGGTCCAACCCATAATGATCCAATGATCCTGTATATGGTTTCCATGAAGGGGCTGGTGAGCTTGAATCACCGACTTTGCAGTTCAAACCAACCAGCGCATTAACACATATATAATATACAGCACATAACAACAAATATAAATGTATATGTATTAGATATATATATTACATATAAATATATGGAGTTCTGGGGTGGCACTTTTGGTTAATGCACTAGACTGCAAAGTCCGCTTAACAACAACAACAACAATAATATAAATGTATTGGTGGTGGTGGTGGTTATGTGCCATGGAGTCGATTCCAACTCACAAGGATCTTGCATAGGGTTTCTGAGGCTGTAAATCTT